AGTAGGATGGTCCTTAACCTCCACGTGTTTGAGGTCCTTCCAAACTTCTTCTTGTGATTGAGTTCTAATTTCAAGGCGTTATGGTCTGAGAATATGCAGGGGACGATCCCAATCTTTTGGTATCGGTTCAGACCCGATTTGTGACCCAGTATGTGGTCTATTCTGGAAAAAGTTCCATGTGCACTTGAGAAGAATGTGTATTCAGTTGAGTTTGGATGTAAAGTTCTGTAGATATCTGTGAAATCTATCTGGTCCAGTGTATCATTTAAAGCTCTCGTTTCTTTGGAGATGTTGTGCTTAGAAGACCTATCGAGGGTAGAGAGAGCTAGATTGAAGTCACCAAGTATAAGTGTATTATTATCTAAGTATTTCTTCACTTTGATTAATAATTCGTTTAAGTATTTGGCAGCTCCCACATTCAGGGCATATATATTGAGGATTGTTAAGTCCTCTTGCTGGATAGATCCTTTAAGTATGATATAGTGTCCCTCTTCGTCTCTCACTACTGTCTTCGGAGTGAATTTTAGTTTATCTGATATAAGGATGGCTACCCCTGCTTTCTTTTGAGAACCATTTGAATGGTAAATGGTTCTCCAACCTTTTATTTTCAGGTTGTAGGTGTCCTTCTGTCTAAAATGAGTCTCTTGTAGACAGCAAATAGATGGGTCCTGCTTTTTTATCCAGTCTGAAACCCTGCGCCTTTTGATGGGGTCATTAAGCCCGTTCACGTTCAGAGTTACTATTGACAGATATGAGTTTAGTGTCATCATGATATCTATTTAGTCCTTGTTTTTGTGGATTGTTCCACTGAACTTCTTCTTAAAGGGGAATTTTAAGAGTCCCCCTTAAAATTTCTTGCAGAGCTGGTTTGGAGGTCACATATTCTTTCAGTTCCTGCCTGTCTTGGAAGCTCTTTATCTCTCCTTCCATTTTGAATGAGAGCCTTGCTGGATAAAGTATTCTTGGTTGCATGTTCTTCTCATTTAGGACCCTGAATATATCCTGCCAGCCCTTTCTGGCCTGCCAGGTCTCTGTGGAGAGGTCTGCTGTTACCCTAATATTCCTCCCCATGAAAGTCAGGGACTTCTTGTCTCTTGCTGCTTTAAGGATCTTCTCTTTATCTTTGGAATTTGCAAGCTTCACTATTAGATGTCGAGGTGTTGAACGGTTTTTATTGATTTTAGGGGGGGATCTCTCTATTTCCTGGATCTGAATGCCTGTTTCCCTTCCCAGATTGGGAAAGTTTTCAGCTAGGATTTGTTCAAATACATATTCTGGCCCTCTGTCCCTTTCGGCGCCCTCGGGAACCCCAATTAAACGTAGGTTTTTCTTCCTTAGGGTGTCATTTATTTCCCTTAATCTGTCTTCATGGTCTTTAATTGTTTGTCTCTTTTTTCCTCAGTTTCCCTCTTTGCCATTAACTTGTCTTCTATGTCACTCACTCGTTCTTCCACCTCGTTAACCCTCGTCGTTAGGACTTCTAGTTTGGATTGCATCTCATTCAGTTGATTTTTAATTTCTGCCTGATTGGATCTAAATTCTGCAGTCATGAAGTCTCGTGAGTCCTTAATGCTTTTTTCTAGAGCCACCAGTAGCTGTATAATAGTGCTTCTGAATTGGCTTTCTGACATTGAATTGTAATCCAGATTTTGTAGCTCTGTGGGAGAGAGGGCTGTTTCTGATTCTTTCTTTTGAGGTGAGGTTTTCCTTCTAGTCATTTTGCTCAGTGCGGAGTGGCCAAAAACAAGTTGTATTGGGAAAAGGAGAGAAAGAGAGAGAAGGAAAGAAAAGAGAAAAAGAAAAAAGAAAAAGAAAAGAAAAAGGAAAGAAGAGAAGAAAAAGGGAAGAAAAAGAAAGAAAGGTGAAAAAAAAAGGGGGTGGGGGAAGCAATCAGAAATCAAAAAGAAAAGAAAAAAGAAAAGAAAAAAAAAAACACGGGGGAGTATTTCTGTAGACTTTAAGTCCCTTGACTTCCCCTGGAACTGGTCCGTCCAGCTGGTCTTCTGGGGGAGGGGCCTGTTGTGCTGATTTTCAGGTGTTAGCACTTGGGGGAGCTGCTCTGCCCCTGCCTGCTGCAGGGCTCAGCGGGGTTGTTTACCCCGTGAGGTCTCAGGAGGAACAGCTGCAGTTGCTATGGCAACTCTGGAAGCCTGGATTCAGCCTCCGCAGGAACTACGGGGCTCGGGGCTCTCGGCTCTCGTCCGCAGGGCCTGGAGGCTCCGGGGCGGGGCCGCTGATCTGCTCAGTTCGGGGCAGGAGCGTCCTTGCTGTCCTGGGCCCTCCCGGCCTCTGCCTGTCCCGGGGGGAGGCCGGATCCTGGGCTGTGTCCCGGCGCCCTGTGCTCCGGGGCCTGCGCTGTTGGATTCGCGCTCCCGCCCCGCAGCTCCCTCCCTGGAGCCGCTCCCGAGCCCCTCCGAACTGCTCCGGTGCGTGCTGCAGCCCTTAGGGAGCTCGGAGCACTCCCCTGCGCTCGCAGGTGTCTGTTAGTGTCCCCGGGAGCCCGAGGGCATCCCCGCCCTCCTGGGTCCTGCTCCAACTCCCTGCGAGCCCCTTTCCGCCCGTCCGGGAAGGTTGGTGCAGCTCCTGCTCCTCCGGGACGGGGCTCTCCTGTCCTGGGGACACTCGCCCCGGCCTCAGCTCGGCTCCTCCGGGGCCCCTCCCCCTCGGAGGCCTTTTGTGTCTTTATTTCTTTTTCCCCGTCTTCCTACCTTGATAGAAGCGTGAACTCCTCTCACTGTAGCATTCCAGCTGGTCTCTCTTTAAATCTCAGGCCGAATTCGTAGATTTTCAGGATGGTTTGAAGGTTATCTAGGTAATTTGTTGGGGACAGGTGATTTGGGGACCCTACTCTTCCGCCATCTTGCCCCTCCTCTTTTGGTCCCTCGAAGCTATCATTTCCAAAAGAGAGTTAATCAGAAGTAAAAGATTGTTCTATTACATAACCAAAATATTGCAATGGATGCATCAAAATTCAAAATATTATTAATGAAAGGATAAACATAAGGTGTTTCTATTCACAAGAAGTAGAAGAACAATTTGAGACATTAAAAAAGATAATGTTATTTACATCCTGAGCTACCATTTGTTGATACCAGAGTCAAGTTGGAAGGCCATGGATTCTGAACAATATATTGCCAATGAATTGTGTCTGTGTAACAGAGAAATTTGTTCTGGCCTACATATATTCCACCATTAAGGAGTTTTCACTCAGCATAATACCCTCCAGTTCCATCCACGTTGAAGTAAATGGTGGATATTTGTCATTTCTAATGGCTGAGTAATAGACATTCAGATCAATGTTTTCACCATGCATAAATAATCCAAATATCTCCAGTAATATAAGCATAAAAGCTCTTCTCAAAATTAAAAATTAGCAAAAATTAATTACAGCCTATCATTTGCCAGCAGTGACTAGCACTTTCAGCCATATTGATAGAAAAATGAAATTCCTAAATGTATACATTTCAGTTAAAATAAATTTGGAGAAAAGTGAGGCCAAGAAAAATCTTATGGACAATGAAGACATTACAGAACCTGTATTACTATTTATTACATATACAATTATATAAAAAATACTGTTTTCCATTTGCTCCGTATTTAATAGGTATTAATTGTGAAGAAAATGAGTCAATTGGATAAGGACAAATATCTTTGTATTTTAGTAGAAATGCTGGGTTGCTTTCCTGCTCTTTGAATGAAAGACCTCATATTTTCATTTTGTGATGTGGCCTGTAAATTAGGCAGAGTATGACCTTCCTTCTTGTTCAAAACCTGAGACAGTAAAGACCATTTTTTCACTTACCACTAATGAGCAGTAATAGCAATTTACTTGAGCAGTATGTTCATCTGAGCTGACAGGTTTTTATTAGTTTTTAAGAGTGGGACCACTTTTGAAAAGTGATTTACCAATGAGGAAAATTGTTCTATAGAAGCTGACTTTCCCCCAATCTCTTTCAATAAAACTATGAAATGTACTGAGTGGAAAATAAAATATATGAAAGACATGATCTAACATAGGGATAAGAGTGGCTCCTGAGCATGTGTTTGATTTTCGGTGTGTGGTTATGGGAATGTCCTTGAAATTCATATTCCTAATAACTAAATTGTTGACCCAATCAGGTTATCATATGACCTCACAATTCTTATTTCTGTTGACACATCCAAGTCCTTATACTGATCTTGTGGAGTACCTGACAGGAATCACTTTTCTATTATTCATCTCCCTAAAAGGGCCATAAAAGTGTTATATTTTATTCAGAATGTTATAAAAACTTTATAATTCCTGATAATACCTCAACTAAATCATTCTAAAGCTAAGTTAGCCTAAATTGAAATAAATTAGTAACTGGCACACATAAGTCACAACTCAACCATGAGTTCAAGAAGTTTTCTGACTTTTAGGTAGATCTAGATATTCAGGAAACATTTATTTTTCTGTTTAGGTGTATAGGAAAATAGAAAATACGAGAACTATTGTGTTGAATGACAGCTTAGTTAGACAGTTTTCATTTTCATTTCTGTATGAAAAAGGACCATTTCCATTGAGAACACATCAGCAAAAAATGAGTGCATTTGAAATTCAGGAAAATATCATTATAGTTTTAAAAAGATAATGCTTGTAATTTTTAAAAGATTTATTTATTTATTTTAAGAAAGAAAGGAAGATACACAGTGAGAGTAGGAGAGAAGCAGAGGGAGAGAAAGAGAGAGAGAAAGAAAAACAGACTACCTGCTGAGAGCAGAGCTCAATGCAGGCTTAATCTCAGAACCCTGAGAACCTGAACTGAGCCCAAATCAAGATTCCAATCCTTACCTGAGTCACCCAAGTGCCCTGACAGGTCTTGTAATTACATCTATATTTGCAAGACAATTTTGTTCAGGCATGAGTGATTTTTCTTCTGATTTTAGTCCCTGCACTGTAAGCATAAAATATTTCAATTATTGTACATTGATGAATGGACTTATAATAGATATTGGGTACATATGCAAAAAAGCTTTGTCTACATTTTTACAAAGCAGGCTCTCTGAATTGATCTTCTTATGGCTCCCATCACCTCCTTGTTTCTCAGGCTGTAGATGATGGGGTTGAGCATTGGAGTCAAGATGGTGTAGAAGACAGCCAAGGCCTTGTCCTCTGTTGGAGATCTAAGTGATCTTGGGCGTAAATAAGTGTAAGCAAAAGGTATGTAGTAGAAAGTCACCACAGTTAGGTGGGTGCTGCAGGTGGAATAAGCTTTCTTCCTCCCTTCTGTAGACTGCATGCGGCAGATAGCTAGGAGGACCCGGATATAAGAAGAAGTAATGCAAATGAAAGGAAACACAAGGAAGAGGATGGTACTGACAAATACTGTGTACTCATAGACCCAGGTGTCCATGCAGGCCAGAGTCAACATGGCTGGGACATCACAGAAGAAATGGTTGATAGTTCTGGATCGACAGTAAGGTATATGGAAGGCATATGCAGTGTGGGCACAGGAGTTGATTGATCCCATTATCCAAGATCCTGTTATCATCAACATGCACACTTTTTTGCTCATACGAATGGAATAGTGGAGAGGAAAGCAAATAGCCACATAACGATCATAGGCCATAGATATCAGGAGCAATGCTTCTGCTCCTCCTAATGTCAAGAAGAAGAAGCTCTGAGCCCCACACCCAATGAAGGAGATAGACTTGTTTCCAAACACAAAATTGTAAGCCATCTTGGGGACAATTGTGGAGATGTAGTTTAGGTCAATGAGAGAGAGCTGACTGAGTAGGAAATACATGGGTGTGTGGAGATGAGTGTCTAGGAAGATGAGAAGAATCATGGACAGGTTGCCAAACAGAGCCATTAGGAAAGCAAGAACGATGATAATAAAAAGGAACAGGCCAATTCTTGTTGGTGGGAACAAGCCCAAAAGGATGAAATCAGTTGATGTTTGAGTATAATTTTCCATGGGGCATTGATATAATTTTCCTAAAAGCAGACAGAAAGGTCAAGTATAGATAAAGAAGCTCTGTTTAATGTATCATTCTGGTCAGACCATGTATTATTTAATTTTACCAATCTTAAGTGAATAATTGAACTTTTGTATTTTAGAAGAAAACAACTTATTTTTCTCAGTATTTATTTATTTATTTATTTATTTATTTATTTGAGTTTGATTTGCCAACATATAGTAAACACCCAGTACTCAACCCGTCCACTGACCCCCTCAGTGCCCATCACTGAGTCACCCCATCCCCCTGGCCACCTCCCCTTCTACTACACCTTGTTCATTTCCCAGAGTTAGGAGTCTCTCATTTTCCATCACCCTTTCTGTTTTTTTCCCACTCATTTTCTCTTCTTTCCCCTTTAATCACTTTCACTATTTTTTATATTCCCTATATGAGTGAAACCATTTAAATGTTTGATCCAGAGATTAAAATTTGCAGATGCAAGCATTAGTAGCCTGTCTTTTCTAAGAAATCTTTAAAGTTATTTAAAAAGGCATATATTTATTAAGAATTCATTAGAATAAATACGCTTTACTATTGCACACAAACAATAAGTATTGTGGAAATCAGACGTTTATTCAAAATATATGCAGAGAAAATCAAAGTGAACACATTGGTATTTAAGAATAAATATTTATGATTCATAAAGTATCGTTTTTCTTTCACATCTAAGACTTGCTTCTTAAGCTGCAGCAGTCTATAGCTTCTGTTGAGGAGCAATATTTCTTTCTAGAGTTCTCTTTACACAGTGGCATCGAATCAAAAATCCTTGAAGTCAGGTAAAATTATTGCTTTCATATGTTCTGAAATCTTGAATGATTCCTTATTATCAAGTACCATTTATAGAAAATCATTATTTTCTGCCTCAGTTTCTGCATGGTACTGTTCAATTAAACACTTCAAATAAAATATCTATACACCATACTTATGGTAGGTTTCATAAATCTGCCACAGTTCTTCAAAATAGTTTATGTTTTACATCTCTCTGTTTCTATAACATGTATATAATATACACTATTCCATGTTGCTCTTTCCTACTCAGTTTTTCTTTGCTTTTTTTAATAAATTCAAATTCACTTAGCCAAATATAGTACATGTTCAGTTTAAGATGTAGTGTTCAATGACTTAGTTGTGTATAACATGGTGCTCATCTCATCATGAGCCCTCCTTAATGCCCATTATCCAGGTACTCCATCCTCCCACTCATCTCCCCTCCAGCAACCTTCAATTTGTTTCCCAGAGTTAAGAGTCTCTCATGATTTGTCTCCCTCTCCAATTTCTTTCCATTTAGTTTTCCCTATCTTTCCCTTTGATCTTCTGCACTGTTATATTCCACAGGAGTGAAACCATATGATAATTGTCTTTCACTGGTTGACTTATTTCAAACAGCATAATGCCCTACAGTTCCATCCATACAAATGTGATGGTAGGTATTCATCCTTTCTGAGGACTGAGTGATATTCCATTGTGTATATAGACCACATGTTTTTTTATCCATTCATCTGTGGAAGGATATTTTGGCTCCATCTACAGTTTGGATACTGTGGACATGGTATTTAAACTTCTCAATTGTAGATTAGTGTGGAAGTTCAATCACATGTATTTGTAAATTCTCCCTCTTATTTTTTTTGTATATATTTTGTATTGGAGTTCGATATGCCAACATATAGCATAACACCAGTGCTCATCCCGTCAAGTGCCCTCCTCAGTGCCCGTCACCCAGTCACCCCAAACAACCCACCTCCCTTTCCACTACCTCTTGTTCATTTCCCAGAGTTAGGTGTCTCTCATGTTCTGTCACCCACACTGATATTTCCCATTCAATTTCTCTCCTTTCCCCTTTATTCCCTTTCACTATTTTTTATATTCCCCAAATAAATGAGACCATATAATGTTTGTTCTTCTATGATTGACTAACTTCACTCAGCATAATACCCTCTGGATCCATCCAATTGAAGCCAATAGTGGGTATTTGTCATTTCTAATGGCTGAGTAATATGTATGGTATACATATACCACATCTTCTTTATACACTCATCTTTTGATGGACACCGAGGCTCCTTCCACATTTCAGCTATTGTGGACATGGCAGCTAAAAAAATGGGGTACAGGTTTCTTGCCATGTCACTGAATCTGTATCTTTGGGGTAAATCCCCAGCAGTGCAATTGCTGGATCAGGGGGAGTTCTATTTTTATCTATTTGAGGATCCTCCACAATTTTCCAGAGTGGCTGTACCAGTTTACATTCCCACCAAGAGTGCAAGAGGGTTCCCCTTTCTCCACCTCCTCTCCAATATTTGTTATTTCCTGTCTTGTTAATTTTCCCCATTCTCACTGGTGTGAGGTGGTACCAAATTGTGGTTTTGATTTGTATTTCCCTGATGGCAAGTGATGCGGAGCATTTTCTCATGTCTTTCTTGGCCATGTGTGTGTCTTCTCTGGAGAAATCACTGTTCATGCCTTTTGCCCATTTCATGATTGGATTGTTTGTTTCTTTGCTATTGAGTTTAATAAGTCCTTTATAGACCTTGCATACTAGCCCTTAACTGATAAGATATTTGCAAATATATTTTCCCATTCTATAGGTTGTCTTTTAGTTTTGTTGACTGTTTCTTTTGCTGTGCAGAAGCTTTTAGCCTTAATGAAGTCCAAATATTTCAATTTACTTTTGATTCCTTTGCATTCATAGATGTATCTTGCAAGGAGTTGCTGTGGCCAAGTTCGAAGAGAGTGCTGCCTGTGTTCTCCTCTAGGATTTTTATGGATTCTTGTCTCATATTTAGATATTTCATCCATTTTGCGTTTCTCTTTGTGTATGATGTAAGAGAATGGTATAGTTTCATTCTTCCATATGTGGCTATCCAATTATCCCAGCACTATTTATTGAAGAGACTGTCCTTTTTCCAGTGGATAGTCTTTCCAGCTTCATCAAATATTAGTTGACCATAGAGGTGAGGACCCATTTCTGGATTATCAATTCTTTTCCACTGATCTATGTGTCTGTTATTGTGCCAGTACCACACTCTCTTGGTGGGCACAACTTTGTAGTACAACATGAATCTGGCATTGTGATGTCCCTGGCTCTGGTTTTCTTTTTCAATATTCCCCTGGCTATTTGGGGTCCTTTAGGATTCCACAAAATCCTAAGATGATTTCTTCCAACTCTCTGAAGAAAGTCCATGGTATTTTGATAGGGATTGCATTAAAAGTGTACATTGCCTTAGGTAACATTGATATTTTCACAATATTAATTCTTCGAATCCATGAGCATGGAAGATTTTTCCATCTCTTTGTGTCTTCCTCCATTTCTTTCAGAAGTGTTCTGTAGTTTTTAGGGTATAGATCCTTTACCTCTTTGGTTAGGTTTATTCCTAGGTATCTTATACTTTTGGATGCAATTGTAAATGGGATTGACTCCTTAATTTCTCTTTCTTCAGTCTCATTGTTAGTGTTTAGAAATGCCATGATTTCTGGGCATTGATTTTGTATCCTGCCACACTGCCGAATTGCTGTATGTATTCTCACAATCTTGGGGTGGAGTCTATTGGGCTTTCAAGGTACAGTATCATGTCATCTGCAAAGAGGGAGAGTTTGGCTTCTTCTTTGCCAAGTTGAATGCCTTTTATTTCTTTTTTGTTGCCTGACTTCTGAGGCTAGGACTTCTAGTAGTATGTTGAATAGCAGTGGTAGGAGTGGACATCCCTGTGCTGTTCCTGATCTTAGGGGAAAGGCTCCCCGTGTTTCCCCATTGAGAATGATATTTGCTGTGGGCTTTTCGTAGATGGCTTTTAAGATACTGAGGAATGTTCCCTCTATCCCTACACTCTGAAGAGTTTTGATGAGGAATGGATGCTGTATTTTGTCAAATGTTTTCTCTGCATCTATTGAGAAGATCCTATTGTTCTTGTTTTTTTCTCTTTTTTTAAAATTTTTATTTATTTATGATAGTCACAGAGAGAGAGAGAGAGAGAGAGAGAGAGAGAGAGAGAGGCACAGACACAGGCAGAGGGAGAAGCAGGCTCCATGCACCGGGAGCCCGACGTGGGACTCGATTCCGGGTCTCCAGGATCACGCCCTGGGCCAAAGGCAGGCGCCAAACCACTGCGCCACCCAGGGATCCCTTGTTTTTTCTCTTGTTGATATGATCCATGATGCTGATTGCTTTACTAGTGTTGAACCAGCCTTGCATCCTGGTGATAAATCCCACTTGGTCCTGGTGAATAATCTTCTTAATATACTGTTGGATCCTATTGGCTACTATCTTAAGAATTTTTGCATCTGTGTTCATCAGGGATATCGGTCTATAATTCTCCTTTTTGGTGGGGTCTTTGTCTGGTTTTGAAATTAAGCTGATGCTGGCCTCCTGGAATGAGTTTGGAAGTATTCCATCCATTTCTATCTTTCAGAACAACTTTAGTGGAATAGGTATGGTTTCTTCTTTAAACGTTTGATAGAATTCCTCTGGGAAGCCATCTGGCCCTGGACTTTGTGTCTTGGGAGGTTTTTGATAACTGCTTCCATTTCCTCTCTGGTTATCAGCGTGTTCAGGTTTTCTCTTTCTTCCAGTTCCAGGTTTGGTAGTTTGTGGTTTTACAGAAATGCTCAATGTCTTTTAGATTGCCTAATTTATTGGCGTATAGCTGCTCATAATATGTTTTTAAAATAGTTTGTATTTCCTTGGTATTGGTTGTGATCCCTCCTTTTTAATTCGTGATTTTGTTAGAGTCTTTTCTTTCTTGTTTTTAATATGGCTGGCTAAAGTTTTATCTGTCTTATTAATTTTTTCAGAAAACAAACTCCTGGCCTTGTTGATCTGTTCTACAGTTCTTGTGGTCTGTATTTCATTGAGTTCTGTTCAAATTTTTTTTTAACTCTCTTCTTCTGCTGGGTGTAGGATATATTTGCTGTTCTTTCTCCAGTTCCTTTAGGTGCAAGGTTAGCTTGTGAATTTGGGTTCTTT